GGATTTGATGGATTGATAGAATGATGATGATGATGATGATAGATTGATAGAATGATGATGATGGATTGATAGTATGATGATGTTGATGATGTTGGTGATGATGATAGGATGATGATGATGATGATGATGATGATGATGATGATAGAATAATGATGATGATGATGATGATGGATTAATAGAATGTTGATGATGATGATGCTAGGATGATGATAGATTGGTGATGATGTTGTTGATGATGATGATGTATTAAGATGATAATGGTGTATTACTATTGATGATGATTGACAAGGCTGATGATGATATTCAGTCACGATGAGGATGATGATGATGAAAGATATGACGATGCAAGAGACAAACCATGCAAATGGGAATTGTATGTATGTGGGTGTATGTGTGTTTATGTATTTATGTAATAAAAATGTCTTTAAAAATAAACAAATTATAAAAAAAAAATATAGGTGTGCAATTCCTCCATGAAGAATGGAAATGGGTAAGTTAAAATATAGGTCTGCGATTCCTCCATGAGAAAGGGAAATAGGAAAGGTAAAATATAAATATGCAATACGATTACGATAATGGGAAATAGGAAAGTTTAAAATTTAGTCTTCAATTACTACATTATGTACCACGAAAAAGGACAATAGGGAAGACCCTCTGCGCGCCTCTACACGGGACACTAGAAGTGATAAATGTTCGTTATATTTTTTTCAATATTATAAAATAGATAGTTCTAAATCAATACAACTTATGCGAAGATGAGATCAAATAACAAATCGTGTTACCCAGCTATCGGATCGACCGCCAGTGCCCTCGGTTTCTCTATGTCATTCTCAATAATGACCTTGTACATACTTCTGTCCGTTGTGTCGGCAGGCTGAACCGCTATCCACTTGAAGAAACCGTCAGTCCAGTACATGTTCCTACTAATCCAATCATAGGCTATCGTTGAGTACACTGATCGGGACACACCACAACGAACAGTTGTTACATTATTAGTGTCAATCGATAAACGGTAAATGCACTCTGTTTCACGGTCAAGGAAGTAGACGGTTCCTTCCGCTATGTTAACATCCATGCTATTTATATCGATGCTCGCCATCCCTACCGTGGTGAGTCCTGGAGAGGGGGTGGAAGCGTTAATACTGTCACCGTCGCCCGGATAAATGTATATGCCTCCGTCCAGTCTAGAAGTAGAGTCAACTGCCACCAAAATATAATTTGCTGGAACAGATATCACAACATAGTGTACAAATACAGACTTTTTAAATTAAAAATACGATCGCATAGATATGTATAACGTTCTACATAAATTACTACACAATGTATCTATGTGTATAAAACGCTTGTCCATTTTTACTTAGGTCAAACTAATTATCATTCTTAACACAGTATACCTGTGATCTGTATTATCTTCCTTACAAAATAGACTTCAGATCTGTCTTACCTCCTTATCTATCTTAACTTATGGCTTATGATTTGTGTTGCAATGCATCTCCCTTGCACATTAAACATAACATTTGTAAGGTTTTCTTATTTCTTAATCATTCTTACAATCCTTACACGTTATTGTTGTTAAGTTACCTCCCTTATTAACTCTGTAATTTGTGTTATCTCCAAACAATCATCAAACATTGAACAAAACCAGTCTGAATTACCAGTTATGAAATAATTTACATATGTTTTAGAAGTGTTAATATACATTTTACGTCTATTAAGCACGTGCGCAAGATACATGTTTAGATTAGACATGCATATATATATATCTTGCATACCGTCAATAAGTAAAAAAAAAACTGTGAGAGAATATATATATATTTTTTGGTTTTTTTAGAAAATTTCATGAGGTTCAGTAGCAAATGTGTTTGTTTGTAAGGTACAGACATAGCCAGATCGTATCCAAGACGAAATGCAACAAAATTACACCACAGCGTAAACATGTAACGTTATGATTTTAACTGGATAGTGCAATGGGCCATTTGTTAGTCTCCTATGTTTTCTTAATGGCAATTTAATGTGTAACGAACAATTTTAAAGTAGTGACTTAGCTAATATATACATGATAAATTGATACATTAACTTGGCGCAGGGGGATGCACCGAACCATGAAATGACGCAGGTATCGGGTTGGCACACATTTTTTACCAAGTTTATAGAGGTCAATTTTATTTCGTAAATATCTACCGCACTGATCGGCAATGTAAAAGAAAACCTAGTACATGTAACATATGTTTTATATCTTTAACATTAAATCTTAATGCATGATTAATAAAGACCCACTTTAGAATACACCATTTAGAATGATTTATCAATATACATTAACGATCAACTATTTAATTGAATAGTACGGGCCACTTCAAACACGTCTCCAGCGTACGAGTCTCCGAGTAGCTCAATCAAATCAATGCCCCAAATAATTGTAATAATGGCACACACAAAAATCAAAGTATATTACACATTTTAATGATGAGTAGTTTCGGATGTTATCAGTATTAACTGACCTTTTAGTAAAATGACAGAACAAGACGTTAAGATGCATAACGTGTAATAAGTAACCTTTACTTAGATTATTATTATGATCTGATGAATATTTTCTTCCCAATAGTCTTAAATGGATTTATTTCCAGTTAGTAGTATATAATATGAAATAGACCATGGCACCTGCAGTGTCATACATACTGTAGTTTTCCGGTACCTTTGTTTCTTCTTACATACCACGATACAACTTATCCAGGGTGATAATATTACATGCCAACATTGCGTTCCAGGTACAGAGTTTAATATGGATACATATTATAAACCCCTCTATGACATATATCTTAACTTCACATTCATCCCAAAGATTATGCATGCGATATACTGTATTATCAGATATAAGATATTGTTACGTAAATTCGCCCCATAATGTTTGTGTGATACATTCATTTACAGTTCTTCAGACATTGTTGTGTGAATTTGTCTTACAATTTGTATAATACGTATGTATCCTATACATTAATAGTTCTCAAGTCATACATTGATATTTCTTTTGATATATCCCTGTGAATTAACCAAAAGTATTTGCATATTGTACATCATTAGTTCCTCATATTTACTCTTACATGTATACATACCATACATTAGCGATTCCTCAGATATTAAAAACATTTTATTCTGAAATATATTCGGCATATATTATTTGTTTCTACAATACCAATGATGCAAAACGTTATTGTCTTTTCAGATATTTTTCTTTAAATTGTTTCATATTCCATGTATGCCATACAATATTGAAACTAGAAACGTTGTGTATATTACTATAAAAATAATGTACGTCATCATTATATTTGACGTATAGGTTTTATGATATCATATACATGTACTTCATAAAAAAAAGTGATATACCACATAATAATGGCGTGTAAATCATCATTAGTTTTTTTCTGATAACATTGTGTGGAATTCCCCATAATTATTGTTATTATATATATGCAACATATAAGTTTCTATACAATTTCAGGAAACTACTCTAACCAGAATTTTAAGTATTTTAGGACATTACAAGTACGTACATTTAACTCAATAAGGACAGTGTTTGAGACACAATACAATTTGTTGAAATCAAAAAAGTTGTACTCCATGCATGTAGAGTCCGAATCTACGAGGGCTTCCTTTCAATGAGCCGCCGGTGTACAACCAACTTTGATATGAGATCGGCATCTACTGTTTGTAAATATGTATAGATATATAATTGAAGCTTAGAAACTACGACACATCTACGTTACCATTAGTAAAAAATACACACATACTTTATAGTTTCTACGTATTCAACGGTAAAAGAAGAATGACAACATTTTCTTGCTTACATTTAAATAGTTTCAGAACATACAACAAAAGTATCTATTATTTGTAGATTGGTATAATTACAATATTATGAGTATCAAATATACATATGCAGCTGCATATTATCATTACTGGTTACCTATACATCATCATTATGACTACAGTATATGTTAGTTTCTGTCACTTTTAAAAGAATAGGGCAACATGATCGCTGGTTATTCTTTTGGAAACATTTGCTTTTTGAATAACGAAATGTAATTGTTAAGTGTTCAAATCTAAATAAGTTTATCATGAAAGCATCACATACATGTAAATATCAATTCAAATATCTCATCTCTGTTTAGGCTTGCAAATAATACTTGTTTTGAACAAACGACAAATATTTTCGAATATGATTTCAAAACGTGCGTGCTTACTGGTTCCATTTCTATTAACAGTGCTATCTAATCTGATCTACAACATTAGGTGTGTCGAAATCGAAGATCGCTTTTCATTCAACACCCAGGCTGATGTTTAAAGTCATAGGATTATCACAGTCAAACGCCCCTTTAAAACTTAATACTTAAAAACAATATTTCTTTTCAGTTAGAACATGCATACAATATTTGCTTCAAATCAAATAATTCACACAGGAAGCATTATTAATTCATCTGAAATATTTTAAATCTACATGTTTGAATGATAATATAGTAGTATATCTTACCGGATTTTGCTGGAACTAGAAGCCACAGGATTCTTATTAGAAACGCCGATAAAGAAGCATTTCGAACACCCGACATATTGAACATCTTCTACGTCACTACATGTTCTTGTCGTCCGCTGTTGCTTTACCAGAGGTATCCCTTTAGGTTAATTTCTGATTAAATATCAATTAGCACGTGTCACGAAGTTCCTACTTAAATTGATTTTCAATTAAAGAGAGAGACTTCAATCTGTCGTTTCCATCATCAGTACTAGCTATTTAAATATTACTCTGAGGCAATACACCTTCACATCGGGTATTTATAACTCTATTGGTTTGTTGGAAGTGTTGGTAAAAAATATAGAACACATGCGACTGAGTATGATGTACAGGGTCTAGTCAAATGGTAAACGTTCCCGTGTTCCACGCAGACGGCCGGCTTCAATCCCTGAAGACATCGTAGAAAAATTCCTCCAAACAGCCAAATCGACGGACAACGTATTTGTACAGAAGTTCAATCTGACATCATCCTTATTTGTGAAACAATATGCTCAAAGATAAATGACCTATAACGTTGACCTTTCCGTTGACTATTCATCTTTGACGCGTACATATTGATATCCAGGTGCATCATATACGTCCTAACACCTATATCAGTAGTCCTGCCAATTAATTAATTATTAAATCGGGGTATGTTTATAGTTCATTAAATATATAAGTGATATCTGAAATAAAAATAACTTATTTTTTTACACAACAATGTGCATACAATTCATTTATTTTTTTTATTTTTTTTTGTAATTAGTTTGTTAATTAAGTTAAGCTTACTAAGACTGCTCCCTGGGTTACTTGTTTTATGTGCAATACAGCACTCACATTACAGGAATATTCAGAAGGTGTTGCTGCAATACAGCAACGATATGTACCGATGACAACTGGTCAGTCACTACGGCTGTTTCGGCGGGGAGTAAGGGAGCGAGCGATAATAATGAGGCGACTGTGATCGAATCTTTTATACACATTTACCGAACACAGTTGACAAATACTGCGTCATTTCTGATCACACACCTTTTCATTGTAAACATGTAAACAAAATGGCTTGCCGTGGAGCTCTCAGCGCTTGAAAACTGTTACCGTGGTAGCTACGAGGCGAAAATTTGTAAAATGGTCAGAAGCTAGTACTGCAGGAACTGTATTACAAAGTACCCGCAACACATATCTTCTGGATAGTCAATAGGAAACTGGATAAAGCTGACGTGGATTCTGGAGCAGCGTCGTTTATGTATGAATAAGTGTTAAAAGGATTTACTCTGCTAGCACGAATGTGGTTATTTTGTTATGTAAATGAACATGTTAAGGATTTATTTACAATGTATTCACACAAAGTTGATGCGAAGGGAGGTAATTATAGAACTCCGTCTCGAGAAAGATGCGGTACTGCCAGCTACGAATGCCCGTGCCAGGTGTTGCCTGTCGGGCGCTCGAGTGACAACAATATAAATAGTTACATTGGTAATATATACATTCATTAGTGATATGCATGAGCTAAAGTGTTCGGAATATTGTAAAGGAAAAGTGCTCTAATGCATGTAACATGT